GTGATGGAGTTATCTGCAACATTTATGCTGATTGTCTTCGAATTACGTAAGGTGCTAGCCAAGGCTGTTGTCCAGTCACGAATTATGGCTCGATTTTCTTACAAATGTGGTCTCTACTGTTGGGAGCGTGTTTTGATTCATTTGGTCGTGGACCAACGTTACAACCTGGGCTAGAGAGGAGAGAAAAGAAAAAAACAGGAAAGAAAAAAAAAACGGGAAAAAAAAAACGGAAAAAAAAAAACGGAAAAAAAAAACCGGAAAAAAAAAAACGACCAAAATCTCGGGGCGCCTAAATGAGGGTACAGCTCTCCACAACACAACCACCAACCACCAACGGTCAGAGATCAGCGACAATCAGATGTAAACACACTCTCTGAGTTCTTGAATGTCTTAAGATTATAGTCGTAATACAAATTCCAAGCAAGGATGCGCGCTGGCACAAGGCATTGTCGGTCTTCTCCGTGTCTCACAGAAAAGTTTCAGTGATACCCCGTTATAGGAACAAACCGTCACACAAATCTAATCTTCCTGCCCATGCCCAAGCTGTAGAACTGACGAGGAGATTTACCCAATTCCAATTGCGTGGATCAGAACACCTCACAGGGCCTATCCATTGTTGTGGTGTGAGGTAGACTACATGTAGTCTCGTTCCTAGACTGTTTTGTTGCCGCACTGCTGCGCACTGGACTAAAGCAAACACAGGTGGGCACGAGACTAGACTACATGGATCACTACAGCTACATGGCTTTGTATTTTTTGGAGTTTGCGCAGACAGCTAGCTGACAATGAGGTTGAGACTCGAAGGGTCACGTGTGGGTTGCAGGGTTGGAGGGACAACTGTAGATGGAGTAGCAAGAACACAAATATCGTTGACTTCTTGGTGGGCTTTCAGCTTAGTGCTGAACTTGCTTTTGTGGAGACTGGGGTTTGTCTTTGTCATTTGAGGTAGGCGAGGTGTCAAGGGCTTCCCACTTTGAAAGCTGCATACATATATGAAGATGCGAATCTGTTTATACATTGTGTATACGTAGCTAGAGTAATTGTGGATCGATGCTTTTTTGAGAATGTTTATTTACGAGTGATAGCGGGGCACGCTATAGCAAAGAAAGGTATTGAACATGACAGAAGCAAGCCCTGCAGCTGCTGATCTCACACGCATAGGTTCCTGGCCACGTTTGAGCGCATTCTCTCAGAGATCTAGATATAAGTGGTTCTTAATCCTTATCTTAGTAGTCATGGCTATTAGAGTGTAAACCTGGTGAGACTAGATGTACACAATTCATTCTGCTCACCAGGGGACTTGGGTTTGGACGATTTTTACTTTCAGAGGTACATGGAGTCACTCTAGGTTTACTTTAAATCAATAGTTCACCATGTACCCCAACACCCCGCCCAGCGGTGCTCTCCCTAGTAAAACCTGGAGAGTCAAAATGCTTTGAACCACTATCAATCTCTACACGTAAAATCTCTTTTTTCCGCTAGTGCAAACAGAATGGAGAGCCATCGCTCTTCACTTTCTAAACTTGAAAGTGGGGATTATAAGTGGTACGATTAATTTGGCCTCCTCCCCCTCGAAGCGACGCACTACGTACATACAAGAGTCCTACTTTGCAATTGCACAAAATGAGGATTGACCGTTGTCATGCTGAGCTCCTGAATATCCATGATTCAACATACGTGTGAGACTAAGCCCTTACCCCTTAGCAGCCCCCTTGGAGAAGCTTTTCGTAAGTGATACTTGCGAAAAACAACATCTAGCTCCGTAGAATAGAGGGATGTGATCTACACCTAATGCGTACAATATAGCACAGCGATCGCATAACGCCAAGCCTATAGCTAGTCAAGTACGGGAATATTGCTTTCCTACCCACCAACGCAAAATCGTCGAAAACGCCCCCAAAAACCGTTAAACATATCTATAGATGCACCCAGAAACCGAACCCATAATTTAAAATCTCTCAAGACGTTGCCAATCCTTCTCCCTAGAATCTTGTGAATCTATCATTTCTCCGGCGGGCATGTTACCCTGCCGGCGGCGGTATCGCCGACCTCATCTCTACAGCGAACTTTGGTCGTTTGGGGCTGGTGTTGATAACAAGAATGGTTTCCAGAAATAAAGAGTGGTGGAGTGGGGTAGAGTGGGAGTCGAAGTGGGTCCCGCAAATTTTTTTTCGTTGTGTTCGCGCGTTTAGGAGTGTAGGATAGAATGGAGAGTGACCTCAGACCGACCACCAAAATCAAAGTACCTGGTTACGAAAGACCCACCAAGAATAGCAATGTATAACTGTAGAGCGTACTGTGAAGAGCTATCTCCCCATGATCTTCTCTCTCGTTTACAGTTTCAGCAAGGGAAGTAGTTGGTACCATGCCTATTGTACTTTAACCAGTACACGACGTCAAATTTACTTTAGTGCTTCATGTGTGCCCTGGGAGGAAAGAATCATGTAATTTAAATTAACACAGTGATGCACGTAGCCGCGGCCTTGCATAGACGCTTACTCGCGCATTTTATCGGGGTTGAGAATGGAGGTAAAAAGGTGGTACTCCATTTTGTACTGGTGGTTGCATCCAGCTTTAGTTGCAACACAGGTCCTCACTCGTTTTAGCAACCCTATTGCCAACGCTTTGTAGAGAGCCAACAGGCAAAATGAAAATGGAATGGAGACACAACGCTCAATTCTTGTAAATTAGAAGATTTTATTCGAGCTACATGAAGCCACAAGTCTATAGAACATGATGCCATATACCTTGATCTTGTAGACCCTGGATCTGGTCGATCATCGTCAATTTGTCGTGATTGTTGCCTCGTTGCAGCCCAGAGTCCACAAAATCTCGTAGTGGCCCAAGTCGAAGCAGTCGAAGAGGGGCAACAGGAAACGCAAAATGGAGAGAGAACACTCAATGCTTGCAAGTTGTGGACTTTTATTCGAGCTACAGGAAGCCGTCAGTCTATAGAACACAATCCCATAGACTCTCATCTCTCAGACATCGTCCCTGGTGAAATATGGTCGATTCATTGCGATTAAAGCCTTGTTGCAGCACAAAGTCCCCCAAAACCTCGTAGCAGCCCAAGTCCCCACCACGTGAAGAGAGGCAACAGGCAAAAAGAAAACGGGGACATAATGCTCAATTCTTGCAGATTAGACACTTTTATTAGACAATTAGAAAGCTACAAGTCTATAGAACACAATCCCGTAGACGTCTATTTCATAGTCCCTGGTTCTATAGAGATATGGTCGATTCATCGTGATCGTTGCCTTGTTGCAGCCCAATGTCCCGAAAACTTCATAGCAGCCTAAGTCCCCACTCTTCGAAGAGGGGCAACACAGAAAACGAAAATGCACATAGAACGCTCAATTGTTGTAAACTAGAGACTTTTAATAGATAATCAGATACCCACAGGCCTGTAGAACATGATGCCATGCCCTCTAATCCTCTAGGCCTTGATTATCGTGCTGTATCGTGGGGGAACCAATCTGCAGAGAGGGGCATTTTGCCCGTTGTAGTCACAGAACTGCACACACAACGCTCAATTCTTGGAAGTTAGAGAATTTTAATCTCTGTACAGAAGCCCACAAGTCTGGAGAACACAATCATCTATATCACTATCTTCTAGGCCCTGTTGTTGATGGACTATCGTGATAAAACCCATCGTGGGTGGCATTCTGCACGGCCTCCATTTTCCCCGTCGTAGCCCAATCCCCCCCCACAATTCCGCCCCACACTGCAAAAAGTGGGAAAAAGTGAGCAGAATCGGTGGTAGTTACCACCAAGTCACGGGGTTTGCTCGCCCATTTGCCATGAAATGTGTCACATACATATCTCCCCAAATCACCAATTCCCACCACGAGAATCGACGCCCTAGCACTTAATTCTTCGAAATCCGTGAATCCAAATGTATGAAAAGAAAGCTCTGAATCTCTAGAACCTGTTCCCTCTTGGATATACCCTGTAGGCCCTTTAGTGACAGACTTAAAGCCCAAATATAACATGCACCAGGCCTCTCTCGAGACTACAAGTTAACCCTAACTCTCGCCTTCGGCCCCTTAGGTACCGACGAATTCTACCCCCAACCCTGGCTCCCATAAGTACCCACCCATCCCCACCTCTTTCTCCCTTTCTTCCTTCTCTTCTCCATACCATCGATCGACTAGACGCGACTGCCAGCAACAAAATTTTGATATTTATATCAAAATTTTGACCCCAGCAATCCCGCCCTACTCCATCGATTCTCTCCCCCCCCTCTCTCTCTCCTCTCTCTCTCTCTCTCTCCCACAGGGCAAGGACCATGACAACGTAAGTTTTCTGTATCTTTTTCTTATGTTTTTTTGTCATTTTTGTCATTTTTGTCATTTTTGTCATTTTTGTCATTTTTTTCAGTTTTTTATTTTTTCATTTTTTTCCATTTTTCATTTTCGTTTCCCCCAATAAACCAATGAAAAGAAAAATAAAAGATTTTTTGTCTTTGATTTCCCTTTTTGGTCATGTTTTCGTTGTTGTTGTAGCTGCTGTAAAATTTCTTATTCCTTTAAGATCTTTTTTTTGCTGGCAACACAATAAAAACAATTGCATGTGTCGTCCCAACGCAACCGCAGGGGTGATAGAAAAGGACAAAAAAGCACATGAAACTCTTCCCCAAAAAGTCAAAAGTGTAATAATTAATAAGGTCTTCGTCTGTAAGACCTTATTATTATTATTAACCATGAAACTCAAACATGACTGTCTCTGCGAGATTGTAATATATTGGGAGTATTTAAAAACCTCTCGATATGTTATAAAAATATCAACGGACAAGATTTGCCAAACCCCCCAAAAAACATCAAACCTCTAAATTCTTGACACCCAAGATCGCAATTAACAAGATTCACAAACCCACACAAATATAACCCAACCCCACGCTAATATCCACACACACTCCCAATATCAAAAACTCCAAACCACAATCCCAACTCCACGATAACTGCGATTGCTTAATAAAAACTGCCAAACAAACCATAAATATGTATTCTAACATCCTCTCTAGGCCTAGCGTACCGCCGGTGCGCTCCGTGTCGCCATCCTCAGACTCAGAGGACTTCTACTCCGCCGAGGACCCGGCGTACCTTCCTGCCCCTGCCATCGTGGCACAGGAAGCGTCGACACGCTGTCGGTCCAACGCTCTGTCTCTGGGTCTGGGGTCGGTCCCCAACCTTCCTCCCGGCTTGGCTCCCCGACAACCCTCCGGTTCCCCCCCCGGACTCTCCCTCCTTGGGCCCCCCGCCCCTCCTGCTGCGGCGATAGTGCCGTCAGAGCGTGTCCGTGCGCTCACCGAGAAGGCCGCCTTCGCCTGTGCTGCGATCAGTCGGGGCAGAATGGCAGCCGCTGCCGGGCGTAGGCTCGCAGCGGTTTCAGCCGCTGCTGCCGTTGAGGCCAGGCGAATGGCGGCCGAAATCGCCGATAGCATGGACACCCCGCTCGCCGTAGCAGCAAGGGCCTCGCGGGAAAGGAAGCGCCGTGCCGTGTCTCCCCCGTCCGACTCGGACCCAACGATCCGCCAACGGGCGATCGCAAGGGCCAGGCGGACGACCCAGATCGCGGGCTTTAGTGCCGTCCTCGCCGCCGCCAATGCTCCTCCCTCCCCCTCCCCAGTGTTGCTCCGGCCAAGAGCTGGAACTCCCGTACGTCTGCCTTACCGGCCAACCGCCCAGCAAGTGGGTTTCGAGACGCCTGTGCCGCGCACGGTCTTGACTCCCCCGGTTGTGCCAAGGGGGGCCATATACGCGGAGAGCCAGCCGCACGCTGAGGAGGTCTCACGCCTGTTAGGGCTGCTCCCCGGGGGTGGTTCGACAGTGCGATGGGAATGGAGGTCGATGAGGAGCCGAGGGCGGCACTGCGCCCGGCGACGCTCCTGGAGCAAATGCAGACACGGCACGGTGTCATCAATGTCGTGCGGCCAGTAGAGATGGAGTGGAGCCCGGCTCCCCCAGCGTCTACAACAGCACCACAGCCCGCGCAAGGGGCTGTGGCTATGGAGATCGACCGAGAAGGTCTCTCCCAGGGGGCAGTCGGCCTGACGGAGGTCGAGATGGCTGAGTCAAGGGACGACAGCGATACGGAGTCGGAAATCTCCAGCATCATGGATGTTGAAATCCTGGAGGCCCGAACCTCTATGGATGGAGACATCCAGATGTCTGCCCCGTCCGTTGTCGCTGCGTCCGCCGATGCCGCTTCCCCTCCGTCTGTCCCTGCTGTTGTGGCGCCAATGGCCACACTCATCTCTGCTGTGCCGCCCACGACGCAGCTTCTGGCTCCTCGTGCTCGCCCGTTGGTGGTTCTGGCCCCACGGGTCCTGGTGGTCCCTGCGCCTCGTGCTGCGCCTGCTGCTGGCCAGCGGTCCCTCTTTGAGCCCTCCGTGGCTCCTAGAGTGGCACCGGCTGCAATCGTGCCTGCTCTGTTTGCGGCTCGTGACCGCAATGCCCCTGTCCCTGCTGCTGCTGCTCCCGTGCGTTCCTTTGGGGGGTCGGCCGCTGTCTCGCCGCTCTTCAGAAGAGTAGACAACGTTTCGGCGTTGTTCCAGCGCCCAGCCTCCCCGCCGTTCTTCTTCGGGCAGAAGAAGGACGGTCCCGCACCCGCAGCAGTAGCAGCTGCAACAGGAACAGAAGCAGGTGCGCTTCCAGTAGCAGCTACTGGGACTGCCCTGAGCACTCCTCGCCGCCCTGCCGCCTCTGCCTCTGCCACACCCAAGCCCTCTTTCCTGAGGACCTTGGGTGCTGGCGAAGAGTTCAACTTCGGTGTCGCCGCGGCCGCGGCAGCCCAGTCAACACCGACCCTGTCGGTCCTGACCGCTGCCCGGCCAGCACCGGTTTGGACTCTGTCTGCCCCCGCCGCTGCCCCTGCCGCACCACCTCCAGCACCTGTGGAGGTCAGAAGGCCGTTGGTTGTGTCCTCCGGTGTGTGTTTCGCGACACCGCCGCCTGTGGACTCCAGCGCGCTGTTCTTTGTGCCTGCGGTGCCTGCCCCCGTCGTCCCCTCTGTTGTCGTGCCCCCAGCTGTCCCGTCGCTCACGGAGGAGCTGGTCGGTCAGGAGAGAGTGCCCGTGGCTGTACAGCCAGCACCGCCTGCACCGGTCAGCTCTGAAGTACCAGAGCAGGCAGCAGCAGCACCTGCAACAGAGGCCGTCGCAGCAGCAGCAGCACCAGCAGTGGTAGTGGCTGCAGAGGCAGAAGCAGCAGAGGCGCCATCAGAGGAGCCAGAAGCTGTAGCAACAGCAACAGCAACACCAGAGGTCGCCGTGGTCCCCGTAGAGGCCGCGACCTCACCAGCCGTCCGAGCAGCATCGCCTGCCCGCATCAACACCCCGGTCCCCGTCAAGGCCACCGTGCAGGAGCTTCTGCCGGTCGAGGTCAAGGTCCCGGAGAGGAAGGCAAAGGCCAGAAAGGTGTCCAGCCCCTTCGCTTGGGAGGACAACCTTGGTCTGCCAGACTCTCCAGAGCCTCGCACCGAGAAGAAGCTGCCTGCCGTGGCAAAGACCGGTGGAAGGAAGGCGATGCAGCAGAAGGCTGCGCAAAAGGGACGTCGGGAGGAGCACCTCCGGCTGGCTGGTCCCTACGTTGTCTCTGACAGCGTAGTGGCCGGTCAGATGGCCATCAGGGCTGCCGGAGAGGAAGGGAGGTTGGCCATGGCCGCAGCTGTACGTCAGCGGGCCCAGGCAGATGCAACCCAGCGTGAGAACGCGGTCCGGCTCCGTGCCGCCCGTCAAAACCGCCGTGTTCTCGCGCTGGCACCAGCGCAGGTTTCCGTGGCCGTCGAGGCCCCTATCCCGATCCTGTGGAGTGCTCGAAAGGCTCCCAGGTCTGGACGGGCCCACACGTGGAACCCGCGCACGCTCGTGCGAATGCTGTCGGCATTCGCGGTGGCAATGGTTGCTGGCCTGTGGGTGTTTGGCATCAGTGGGCAGGCAACTGCTCTGGTGTCGGACTTGGTCCCAGAGTCCCTATCGGCCGTCATGGGCACGACCGTCTCCGCCACGCTGTACAGCGTGTGCGAAAAGGTGTCTGTGTGCGGTCGTGGGGGCGATGGTGATCTTGGACGTGCCAGCCACGCCATCCCCAATGGTCTTTCCTCCCCCTCCTCAGTTTGCTTCTCCTGCGTCCAGGAGCTGTTGCTGTTCCCTGCCTCCGCAGGGGAGATCACTGGAGATGACGTTCCCAGTGAAGAGTTCAGATCGGAGCCTAGCTCCGCACTCTTCCAGGATGTCTTCGGTGATCTCTCCTGTGGCTTGGCTGTCGAGGAGGTTCCCGTGCTGGTGGTGCCCAAGTTGGTTCCTCAGGAAGTCTGCTGGCTGTACGAGGCCGGCATGACGATTGGAACTGGCGAGGGCATCCCGGTCTGCGAGCTTCCAGCGGCGCTGGCCTGGGGATTTCCTGACTACCTCTTGGGACTTTTGTTCCATGGGGTTAGGATGGTATAAATCCTCAGTGTCGTTATATTGGAGCACGGGTGGGCTCCAATCAAAATATTAAAGCTACCCATGTAATTGATAATAGGTTGAGGGTATGTATTCTCCGCTTTCCATTTGACTCTATATCTTTTACCAATTCCAATACTAACTCAATTGTCTATTAGGTTGTCAATTCCACCATCAGCATCTGTCGTTGCGTGGCTGTCCTTTTTTTCCGGGCTCTCCTCGCGGAGGGTCTGTTAGAGAATTAGCATAGCTTCCGCACGCCCAGATGTCTGTTGGCCGGAATGGCCTCCCAAGAGGCCTGAGATATAAGTAACGAGGTGTTGGCAGTGGGTAAGTTTTTTCTTCTCTATTTCTTATCAACTTATTACTTTTCATCGAACAAAAAGACTAACTCATCTTCTTCTACTTAGGTTCGCCGATTCCACCCATCAGGACTGTTGTGCCCGGCCGCTACCCTTTTTTTCCGGGCTCTCCTCGCGGGGGGTCTGTAGAGAACTAGCATAGCTGGTCGGGCGAAGGAGTGGTCTCCCTCGCGGGGGGCCATGTCCAACAGCTTCAGTCCTGGATGGCAAGGAATGGCCAAGTCCTCCACCGATTCCAACCATCGGGACTGTTGTGCCCGGCCCTCTATCCTTTTTCTCCAGGCTCTCCTCGCGGGGGGTCTGTAGAGAACTAGCATAGCCGGTCGGGCAAAGGAGTGGTCTCCCTCGCGGGGGGCCATGTCCAACAACTTCAGTCCTTGATGGCACGGAAAGGTGGCTGGATTTGTCCCCAGTCCAGAAAACGAGAGGGCGACCGATCGGGATCGTGACGGGCTTGCTTCGCGGCAGCCTGGTCTCCTGGTCGGGCCGTGCCCCTCACCCCGCTTGGGGTCTGGATGAACACGTATTCGTACGTGTTATCCGCACGCCGAGTGGGGTGATGGAGTAGGGTCCGATTGCTCAAACTTGCTACTGCGAGGGCGATGCACGTTGTATCAGTCTATATACTTCGTCAGTGAACACACAATATCTAAAGATCTGGGTGCCTTAAGAGTCAAAGTCGAGTACATCGAGTACATCGAGTACAACATCGAACATCATCTTCATCATTCTCGATTTACGTCTACGAAATTCGAACATTATATCAATCACGGGTTTCAACTTTCAAACACACTTTACTTGACTCACATCATACCATCGATCACCGAACATCTATCAATTTCGACTATCGAACACAATCATGCATGCAGCATCTTCAATTGCATTGCAACTTCACCGTCAAATATCATCTACTTGACATCTCATACACCATACTATACCATGCTGATCATACATTTACACATCGATCACGCATCTGCCGCGAAAACCACCATCTACAAAACCAATTGCGATTACAACAATCGCCAGAAATCACCTGCTGAAACCATACCATCCAGCCATTTCGAAACCTGCATTCTCTTACCATTCCTTCAACGAGAATCAGGATCACCTTTTAGACAACAACCAATGCATCCAAGAGCACACCGCTTTGGACTGCCAGACAGCATCGCGACTTCGATACACTTCTTTCAATGAATTCATCATGAAGCATCGAGTCCAGCTGTCGCCTCAAAACGTACATCTATCTCAATACCTACACTTACTATCACGCAACATCGAGTCGGATGTACATCACCAGTCAACTTGACTAAAACACGAGCACGCATTCATATTCTACGAATTTTGCTCTACCGCGAACTTTACTACTAGACCATCTCTAGTATGTAACAAAACCAAAACCAACTATCTCGACTCGACTGCCGCAATCTCAATCATGCAACATCGAGTCGAACATGTATCTCGTACATACATGTATCATCCAGTCAACTTGACTACCCACTACACGAGCAAGCATTCACATCCTATGAATCTTGCTTTAAAGCGAACTTTACTACTAGACTATCCCTAGTATGTAACAAACCAAACCAACTATGTCGTCTGGAACACCGCTTCACCAAAGCAAACCAGATGACAAAAATCTCGGCTCCACTACCTCAATCTCAATCACGCAACGTCGAGTCGATCATGTATCTCGTACATACATGTATACATCATCCAGTAAACCCAAAACCAAACGAACTACACGATTACAATAAACATCGAAATAAAAATATGCCATCTGGAGCACCGCTTCACGCAATCCAGATAGCAACAATCTCGACTTGACTCTTGCAATCATGCAACATAGGTCACAACTTCTGCAGAAAAGATCTTTGCAACCACTCTGCCTCGATAACTACGCTGCACTCAAACTCTTATGTGCTATGTATCGACAAAAAGAAAACCTATCACGTCAACGCTACTTACTTGGCTGATACACAAAAAAAATCATACGGACTTACTACCGTCAATACGTACCCACCTATACGATTAAAACCAAGAAACCCATCTCTCCAATCTAATAAATCATCGACACTTGCAACCAATTATGCATCAGTCACACACCATGTCTACTCGGCATGTGCTATGGAAATTACTTATCACATCAAGTCTACTCGACTGATGCACAATCCATATAAACTTACTACCATCATGCATACCAACTATACGATTACTCGAATAATCCACCTGGCATACCACTTCACAATGGCCAGATGAAAAAAATCCCGACAATGCAATCAATCCCGCAACGTCCTGTCACAACATGTCTACCCGTCATGCAACGTTCCACAGCGAACACTCGATACTGCATTGAAAACCATCATGCATTTCGACCAGCTCATCTCGCGGCAGTAGAACCCAGATGACGCTAACAATCAAGTAAAGAGGAGGAATTAAGATGCAATTCACCTATTTCAGAGATATCTAGGTGGAGGAATGAAAGAGGAGGAAGTGGAAGAAAACCGCCTGCAGCAGAGACATGTAGGTGGTGGAATGAAAGAGGAGGATGTTGAATGGAAGCAAGCCACCTATTTCAGAGTTATCTAGGTGGTGGAATGAAAGAGGTGGAAGAAGAAAGACTCTGAGGACGTGGTATGTCTAGAGATCGGTGGTGACGAAAGGTCGGAGCGGAGGTTGTTTTTGATTTTGATTCTGATTTGTTTTCTTTTGTTTTGTTTGCTTTGCTTTTTTCTGTTGTCAGAATTACTGTTGTCAGAATTGTTTTCGGGATTGTTGGAGTTGTTTCTTTGGTTACGTTTCTTTGGTTACTCTTCCTTGGTTACTTTTCTTTGGCTACTTTTCTTTGGTTACGTTTCTTTGGTTAATGTTTCTGTAATGTTTGGCTACATGTAGTGGTGCAATAATATATAAATTGTACCGCCTACTTGATCGAGTGGTTTCTGGGAACTTGATATAATATAATTTCTTAATCGCTCTGGCTATACTCATTAATATATTGTATGCCGTGCTTGACAAGTGACTATAATCTTATTGAAAAGAGTCTATCTGTGTCCACGCCTTTTCAATTGCATGTAACTCATCACTCTTCTTGTTCCATGTAGTCGTTATCGTTAATCTATATAATTCATGAACAAAGTACTAAACTTCCCTCTACGGTTGCAGTGCCTGGGTCTATAATGCCCTCGACGATTTAAAATACCCCCGACAACAACCACAGAACAAACTGCGAAGAAGAAAAGAAAGAAATCGATGCATTTCAGAGTGAAATATTACCAAAAATACGAGTAGTGCAGTTTCCGGCAGGTTTTCCACATCGTAAACATTTATTTATAATGGGGATTGAAAAGAGAGCTCGATGATTTTTTTGAACTGTATTTTGTGATTACATACAGTTCCCTCTGGTCATCGGATGTATATATTATGTAGTCAAGTTTGTACTGTCGTTGAACCTCTCATACCGATCCGCTTTTCATAGTTTATTTTATAACGACCAAAGAAAATAGAAAATTAGAGATAAGCCCTTTTCTCTCTCATATTTATAGTTCGTTGCGTTACTATCGGAGGTACTACTATAACTCCTGAGGGTAGTACCCACAAATTCAGGCAAGCATAACGATAGAGGGTAGTTTCATTTATTTATTGTACTGAACCCGGGACTGTGGTGATTCGCCCTGCTCTCTTGCCTCGCATCATCCCCTCTAAATATCTGCGTCTACATAAAAATAATGAAATTAAAAAGAAAATAAGAAAAATACATGAATTTAGACCAGCTCTTCTACCTTAACATCAGAGATGGAGTGAAGCTATTCTGTCCCCTACATAGCTCAAGAGACTGTAAGATCACACAGATCTTAACAAACTTTGCTTCCCGAAAAGGCTTACTTACTTCCGGTCTTCATGATTCGGAGTTCGAGTTCAAGCTCTAGCTCATCTAACTGACAGGAAAGACATTGTAGTTTTCTACTCACTTCTTCTTACGGAAAACGTCAACCTGAGGCGAGATTTAGAGGTTTTTCACCATTTTCCTGCCCGACGTACTGCTGCAACATCCTCCTTCAATCTATACCAGCAATAGAGAAGTACCTCAAAAAACATTCAACCTTTATAACAATTCTTAACCAATCTACGATTAATTACAGCAGCTGGATACTCAGGAGCCCGCCCCCAATACCACAAGCTGAGGTCTTGAGTTGCGTAGTTGTAGTCTCTCTCCACTTACCACTTGCGATCACCTCCAGACGTTATATTTCACGACCTCTTCTACCTGGTCTTCTGGCCCCACCAACCGCACTAACCACCGCATCCTGCCTAGACACTCTCCACCTTCATCACAGAAGCTCACTTAAAAGCGCTCAAGGAGTGCCGTAATGCCAGGCAGCGCAGAGTGCGAAAGGAGGAACCACAAATCATTATTACCAACTCTCTTCCATACAAAATATACATCTACCTACAGAACATGCATCTACATACAGAACATAAATCTACCGATATAATATACCCCAACAACTCCCTCGTCTACACCTAGCCTCATAAGAAATACAGGCCCCAAACCCTCCCACCTCAACAGCCCCTCCCAGCGGCAAAGTTACCCCTCCCATTATGCCACGCGCCAGCAGAATTGAGAGGTGGCTTAGCTACCGGAAGAGACTACTGAGATACAAAGCTCTGGAATCTGTAAGCCATACAAAGCCATGTGGTACTGCCTCAACCACTAACAGGGGAGACAGGACTATGTAGGTGCCATGACGATATGAGTGATACCAAATCATCCATATCAGGTGTACGAATTTTAACTAGAGTCTTCCTCTTGCCGGGTTGCGGGGGTCTGCTGGGAGTGTGTGGTTAGTTGGCGGAGGATGATGAGAAAGAGGAGTACGAGAGTGAGAGAGCGACCGGGAGAGAAGGGAGATATAGACTTACATTGATTTCATGTCAATTGGAGTGACTGGGAGGGTTTTTGCCTCTGTAGAATCACCTGCATTACCTTCGTCATTGAGGCCGCGGGAGCAAAGAAGAGAGATTGTGTCTTCAGCACTGGGCAGTATCGCTCCGGCGGTGAGAGGTGGACAGACGTCTTTGACCCGGGGGGGTTCGTCCTTAGCAGCAAGTAGTTGAGAAGCCTCGCCACCGTGATGATGTTCTTCTCCATTTGCATGCTCAAATTCGGGAGCTATGCTTTGTAGCAGGAGCATTGATCTTTCGTTCTTTCCTTGAACCGCATGTTCATTGTCGATTTTGAGGTCATCGTCCTGGTGCTCAATGGTATCTTGAGGTACATCTTTCTCGCTTTCCAGTTCACACTTCTCCTTCTTTTCACTGACCGAAGGGACGCAACAGACGGCTGTGGGGCGATTTTCTTCGTCTGATATTGAGCTAGCAGTAGCGCTCTTGTCGCTCTCGGGAAGGTTTGGGGGTATTGGAGAAAGAAGGTGTTGATCCTTCGGCATTTCACGCTCCTCTTCGAACGAGATTTTGGGGCTATGCATGCAGCTTTCTATATTGACAGTGGAGCATGTCGATATGTCAATTCGCTCTCCACATACGTCTGGAGAACTAATCTCCCCGTCACTGATGTTGGAGAGTTGAGACCCTTCCGCAACTTGGCTTGTAACTAGGAAATCTTCTGTTATTGCGGAAAGAGGTTCATCCAGCTCGGGCGGGGGAATGGGATCTGTCCCCACCGCACCTACACTCTCGTTTGGTACCACAATCGCTCCAAAGTCAGCAGCATAGAGCTTCGCGGGCTTGAATTTCTCCTCTTCCATACCCCCATTCTCTCGGACCAATTTAGTGTGATACACAACTTGGACTCGTTGTGCGGCGTGAGGATTAAGCCGTCGAATCCATAACATCAACATCGCTATCAATTTCTGAAACGCCCGTATCACACTCCGTTGTTGGAGCATGTTTAGGAGAATAATAATAACAAGGATTATTCCAATAGTATAATTACTAGTAGCTTCGGGAGTGGTAGTTGGGTACTGCAGGGTGGCCTGATGTTGGGAATGGATTGATCGCTCCCATTGGTTTCGGGAAAGGATTGGCTCCTCCAAGTTATGGGGGTATTGGAGGTATATGTACTCTTGATAGCTTCAGGTTTGTGCGGATGTGGGGCGAATAGAACAGCGTCAATGGAGAAGTAGGTAATGAGTGCAGTGTTGCTGACTCTAGGTTTGGTTGCTAGTGGGGAGTCTATGCCGGGCTGCAGCGCTGGTGGTGCAGGGCATGTGACCATTAGAAAGAGAGATTGTGAGTTCGATTTGGTACATTTATCTTCCTCTGGGGCAGCCATAAACTTTGGAATAGATTTGCGAATGGGTGATAGGCGTTGTTAGGATACACGTCTGAGTGGTGCTCGCTATGCTTTCTCAGGGGTGCTTTTAATTGCGCTATTAACAATTCTGCAGGAAATTTTGAGTAGTGGAGGAAAACTTACGAAAGAGGAAAAGAAACAAAAAAAGAGTGTGACAAACTAGAAAAAACGGCAGAGAAAAAAGGAAAATAGCAAGACTTAGCAAGAAAAAGAGGAAAGAAACTAATGGCACTGCTATTAGATGCAAGGTTGGTGTGGCAAGTACAGATAATACGCCAATTGAAGTGCAAGTTGATTCCAATTTAAACCATCGATGGGTTTATTGGTATCTCATCCAATACCCTGGTATCTGGGCTCGGGCCGTTCCGCCCTCCACGATATATTTGGGACAAAGTTTCAGTCCGGTGGAGCCCTCCTAGCTACATCCGCATAACCACGTATGCATTGAGCGGCTGGATCACAAAGCATGGGGTTAAGTTGGGGGCTGTTTACTTTGCAATTGACATGGGCTCTGGAGAATATCAGTGAGTTTTCGTCATTGGTTTCGCTTCTGTCGGTATTTATGAGATGTGATCTCACATTGATTTTTTTTTCTAGTTGAATGCCAGTTACAACTCATTACGGCCAATTTTAGTTATTGAATGTCCAGTATAAACTTTTGAACGGCCAAAAATTGTGAAAATCTTACTGCGTGAGCATCCGCGTTAATCGGCTAACCGCCAGCACTCAATAAATGTAGGCGTCGGTACAACCACAAGCGAACCACATGGCATTCATTCCGGGCCAGGTATCCGGAACCCAGTGCTTGCCTCGATACTCTACACGTACCTACATATAGGAGTTGAATTGTCTAGTAGAGTTCGTTCATGCGCTCCGTGTCTTGTGGAGTTGTCTCAAATTAAGCGACCCAAGACTCGAGCTCGCGCGCGTTTGATGCGACAAGGGGCCGACCCCACAGGTAGGGATAAGCCTAATGCGGAAAGGACAAAGTTTTCATCTCTATATCATCGATAGCTCTGGGATACCATTACTACTGAGCTCCTGAGAAGTCTGTCCAGAAGCGAGGTGGTTTGGTTGGACCGATGGCGCTGCACGCGGAGTGGAGATAATAGTGGACGTTGATATAAGAATAGGTCTAAAACAATTGGCAGACTATTTTGTTTCTTCCCGGCGGTTAAGCCAGAGCCCCGGTCGTACTCCATTGGTAGATAGGATATCTGTGTAACGCGGTGAAGAGAACTAGCTACATACATTTTAGCATTTGCATGAAAAAATTTCGATTGTGGTATAGGCAATACTTTAGCGTCACCTATGAATTGATTTACCATTATAGAATAATAGGCTATTTTTGAAGTTTATCAGAGTACTTTCAGGCCAATGGCGGGGAAGATGAGATTGGAGAGGCCAGTCAGGACCAATGCGTCATTGAACCCAGGTTCGGTTTCGTATGGATAGCTTGGTGAGACCAATTGATCTCTAGATGTAGGGCTATGCTCTGTGCGTTGTATGCGGTGCTCTGTCCGATGAGAATCCATACGGGGCGTGTTCTGGTACTGTAGTCGGGGAAGGGGCTATTTCCTCTCAAGCTCTTCCACCCGCAACTGCTCCCCGCTATGTTTACGGGATCGTTGATAACTTTGTCTGCTGACTGAGACAAATAATTGAGCTCGAGAACCAGGGGATAAATTCTCCTCAACGAGACCAGAATGCTACACCGGTAAAGCAATTGGGAGGTGGAAGATGCCAAATGATTGTAGGAAAATGACTGGTCACTACTCTCAACTCTGTTGTACAGAGGGGCATTAGTACTACTAAAAATTGGACATGTATGGGTGAAGTTACTGGCGATCTTATCTTCACTTACAGCTTCAAATCCATTCGAAGATTTGACAACAAACGGGTATTGCGTCGGGTCGGGGGAGGCTAGGCTTCCTCTTTGTCGTGCTGCACGGTATCAGGATAAAAAATCCCGCAAGAAATTCCAGGCATACAGTGGTGGGGTCGATCCTTCCAACGACGTCGTTCGTGTCCTCTGAACTGTTTGCAACCCACCACACCAAACGTCCTTCATCCTCATCACAAACATGGCCTCACAAACATGACCTCAAAAGTACACCCACCAACACGCAAATATGCACTCTCTCTCACGCCGAGAAGCACACGGCGGGATATAAGTCCGAAAAATGCCGGGACACAAACCCCGAGGGATGACGGAGAACACCAAAGTAAGCTCACTGACAGTGTGGAACGATAATATTAAATCGCTATACCTCTCATGGAACAAAATTCTGTCCTTCTCGTAAAGACAAGATCATTAGTCATTGTATATTAGTAACTCTCGTCATCAGGATGATGAGAGACATACTGAATCATAATACCATTATACACCGTTCATCGGATAAGATAGAGTGACTTAGTGTCGTTTAGGACCAAGTTCAAATCTCTTCTATCACAATACCTCCAGTCGACAAGAAGCTCGCTAATAAATTAATCAGCAGGTATTAGTAGGAAAACAGTAGGGCCACATCACCACAGGTAACGGACTCGACATCCTTCGCAGTTTTAGATTTGTTCAAATCACTGATTCTTTCCTAGCCAATAACTTCATGACCTCAGAATCAAAATCGATATCCGATATATACCCAGAGAAATTTCAAATCACATGAGGATGCAACCCATTTGCGACTACCGGCGAGTCAAGTAGGCAAGGGGAGTTGCCAAGAATTAATTACGCACCCAAATCCGGATTAGTTGTCATGCTAGTATTTTACTTGCTGCGCCAAGAATTCCCGACGACCTCTGTCATCCAGATACAGCCGCAGAAGATCTTTTTGACATAGCGAAATGTAGGCCAGATATTGTTGGTTGTCAAAAATAATGGGACGCAACAGGCTTCATTGCAACGTAATAATCTCTCAACCACGACCGACCACAAAGAGACCACAAACAGGATAAGTGATAATAAGAACTACTGGAGACCCAAAATGTATTTTCGTTAGTATTGTCGTTCGTTGGTGGCGGGGTTGGGTTGTCGTTGCTGTATTCGTTGCCCCGTTGCGTCCCATTATTTTTGACAACCTGCAATACCTTCCGTAGATAGCGAGAGATATTGTCTCAATATCGTCGACCGGCAACGAGTGATCACTATTTCCGGCTACCAGGCTTCTCAAGGCGCAGAGACAAGTGCTTCGAGGCGTCTCTGCCTCATGTTATCCATGTGTTTTCTTACTCGTGAAAAATCGGCAGATAATCACAATGTTTGGGTTCCTCCGAATCGTATTGTATTTTAGCTAAGAGATATTATATACCATAGCCTTCGACGAAAATGGACTCGGATGCGATCTCATCCTCAACTTACTAGAGGGTTTGGAATAACCACGCGTTAAATCAAAGGGTCGAGGTGTTCTTTTTGGGGATTTATTACAACTACTTCCGATCTCTAAACTAACGAGCGAGTATGTAATAACATTGCGATAAATGACACGTACAGTAATAGTACTAGTTTAGAGCTCAGTGAGCTGTTAATGGCCGAGAGAAGGAGAGTTATTCCTTAGGGCCCGTTTGGGAGCAGGCCCAAACGGAGTTTTGTGGGCAAATTTGTATGGCAACGGGAAAACTCCGTTTCATTTTTTTCATAACTCCGTTTTGCAAGAAACGTTTGTGTTTGGCATGCCAATTTTGAACCTCTGTTAGGGCTTTGAAACGGAGTTTTTGAAAAGTAGGTAGTGCCTACTTTTCAGCTCCGTTTCGTTGCAAACCCCCACCTTGACAACCAAACTACACTACTATTTGGGAAACCAAAACTCCGTTTTCAAAAATCTCTGTTTGCACCCACCTAACGCAGCCGTTGCATAACGGAGTTTCATAACCACGAAAACTGCCAAACGGGCCCTTAATTTTAATGGTTTAGGTATGCAAGGTATTTTTATACTCGAGAAGTTCAAATTTTATACGCTGAGACAACCTGGGCACAAAAACTACTTGCGTCAAAAAAAGATTTGGCCACAATTTTCGATAGCCGTGATGTAGAGTAACACATGATGCAAAATAACACACTTCTATTAAATGACACATCTTACTATCAGTCTAGTAGGATCTGTACTTCCTCCGTATTAAGTCACCCGTCGCTGGGTGGGCAAAAAAACCACCTCCCCCAGTTTTGCCTTGGCTTGGCACCGCGCTCAACTATCATTTCCCGCCAAGAAACCCCCACGAACGGGGTCCTCTACACAACTCACACATCAAGATGGTTGTACTTGATCTACTCTCCCTACGGCAGGTCCTGAGGTAGGTAGAAGTATTGAAGTAGGTCTCAGTCTCAGTCTTCCGTAGTATATTTTGCTATTCCTGCATATAAAAGCCCCCCCCCTTCCCACTCCTCCTCCTCCTCCTCCTCCTCCTCCTCATCTTCGAATTCCTACATAGCCAGGATCCTGCCTAGCTAAGTAGCTCTCTGGAAACCCATATATATATACAAGTATCGATTCCTGAAAGTTCCCAGTACTAACTCACCCCCCAACACTTGCAGACGCTTCCTAGCTCTACACAGCAGCTATACCCACACCAATACCCACATTCGCCACACCGATATATTCGTATCTCTCTTACCCGTTCATTCCAAATATCAACTTTTATACAACCGCCCCCCGCCCCCCACCGCCCCTACCACTACAGCTTCAAAACCAGAAGAGAAAAAAAAGGTCCACTACATTATTACCCCCAGCCCCACCGCAGAGCACAGCACAGCACACCCTTATAACGCCCCATCAAAAAAAAAAAAAAAACGACAAAACACAAATATGATAATACACACCCACATCCATTACTGTCCTCCCTCTCACCCCCGGCTTTACCGACCCCCATCCACATCGGCAGTCCTTCGTTGCCGGAGCCCGCCAGTCTCCGTCTCCACATCTGCATCAGCCACCCTCTCCACCCCCTCCCCACCATCAATATCCATCTTCTCCCCATCCTCACCCTCACTCGGGCACTCGCCCTCACTCTCTCCCTCGCCAAAGCCCTCATCTTCTTCCTCCTCCTGCTGCTGCTGCTCATACCCCTCCTGCTCATATCCTTGTTTCTCGCAATACACATCGTCGTCCACAACGCGCTCATAGAACAGCATGAACGCATTCCTGATCCCGAGGGCCTGTTCCTCATCGCACGCACTGTAGCCAGTTAGTATCGCACCATACATACATATATACTTATGAGAGTGGGGGGGAGTACTAGACGTCGTGGTCACTAATCTTGAACCACTGCCCATGCTGCTTCCTGTAGCACACATAGTGTCCATTATGGTGGCCGCCGTAGTGCGCCACAACACTCTTAAGATCGTAACTCAGCCTTTCACCGTTCACGCTTAACGTTGTGGTAGCGGCAACGGGCTGATGTACATCCTCCTTCTCCTTCTCATTCTCCGTCTCTGCCTCGGTCTCCTCGGTATCTGTCGCGCCGTCCGTATCCGCGCCCTCATCTGTCGGCGTCTGCACCAGCGTCTCCCCCGACCCCGACCCCTGCAAGAACCACGCCGGTACACGACCACTCATGCTGCGCGCCGGGTCCACCGCCAGCCCCCAGCTGCCCTCCGCTACATCGTGTCGCGTCACAACCCCCAGCCGCCCCAGGTCCATCCGCGCCGGGAAGCTCACCGCCGCATGATTCTTCCCTGTCATGCCAGTGACAACGTCATACTGGCTCCTGTTGAGGTGCAGGACAAGCACCTGGGGTGCGCGCGCAATCATGGTCTGCTTGGTTTTTGTGGTCGACACTTTCTGGCGCGGGGAGATCTTGACGCCGGGGATCTTGGGGTCGAAGTTGTCGTCGTCGATTGCGGCCGCGAGGGCGGCGATGCGCGCTTGGATCTGCGACTGCACGTCGGCGGAGAGGGGCTTGGAGGCAAGGGACAGCAGCTGCTTGTGCAGGGATTTCAGCGTGCATTTGTCGCAGTCGACTTCTTGGATCTGTTCGATTGCTGTAAACTCTTCGAGGCATTCCTCGAGGGTACAGGTCCACTGAGGGGCGATGGTGTTAACATGCACGGAATTTTCCTAGGGCGGTAGTGGACTTACTGTGGGTGGTAACGAGAGCGAGAGGCTCGTGAAGCGCTGCAGGCTGATGGACTCGACATACCCGCACTGGAGACATCCAACTCTCTGTGCAAACAGCCCCTCAAAAGGGCTTCTATACTCCTTCTCCAGGGTTGCTATCGACTCTGGATCCTGCACCCTTTCACCGCGCACAATCTCGGCAATAGCCTCTAGGCCCCTTGTTGCGCTGCGTTTTTTTCTTTCCAGGAATCGCGATACCTCCTTCTCTAGCGCGCCTGTCAGCTTCTGGAAGTACTCCTGTGCGTCCTGCTGCTCGTTGTAGATCCAGCCCGAGTTGTCGGTGCCTCTGACTATTATTGGTGATGGTGTGAATGCGCGCGGGCTCGGAGAGAGCGCATTAAGAGTTGCGATAAGGGACGCAAGAGCGCCGGAGGGGTTCATATAATCTTCTTCTTCGGAGATCGACAGCGACATCAAATGCGGCTTCAAATGCGACAGCGACGCCATGGCCTACACCACATCATCAGTACTCACCCCCCACCACCGCAACCACGACGCCACAAAAAAAGGCAGCACAGCAGAACTCACCTGCAAGACCGAGTTCTGATAGCACGTATTCCCCATGTTCCACAGGCCGCCGACAAACGTCCCGCCGTCGCCGTAGCCCACCAGGCTCGCCGCCCTCGTCCTCACGCTCCTGGCGGCGCCGTGCGAAAACACACTCTGCAGCATCTCGCGCGTGCCCTGCCCCATCACCGTGCCGACAATCGTAAACAGAAGCTCCAGCAGCGGCGGCCACCGCAGCAGCCCATGCAGGATATGGTAGATGATCAGCAGGCTCCCCAGCACAAACGAAAAGAGAAACTGCGGCGACACCTCCGGGCTCTGGTAGTGCACGTCGCCCCCGCGGTACCCTGGCGGCGGTGGTGGTCGGAAGTTGTCGTTGTAAGTGTATGTGGATTGGCGCGAGGAGCGGGGCATCCCTTCAGCAGAGGGGGTGCGCAGAGGGGGTGCGCAGAGGAGAGGAGGGGGAGGAGGGCGAGAGAGGGGCGAGAGGGCGAGAGGTTCAGGGTAAGTCTGGGGGCGCCGTCTGTCTGCCGATGCTTGCTGTCTGTGGGGGCTGGCTGGAGCGCTTTCGGGGAAACGGAGCTGTATGTAGTCGTTTTTATTTATTTTTTTCTTCCGGGTTCTGCAGGTACTGGTATTTGTTTGGGCGCTAGCAGATATCGAGTGTAGCGGAGCGTTTTGAGGGCGTGTGGTGCGGTGCTCGGGAGTGATGAAAGCTGTCGTCTACAGGTCTTTCGCGGGAACGCTGCACGTGAGTGAGTACGGGTCACGTGACGGGAACAAGACACTTACAGGGTTAGGGTTTGGCCCGATGGACGAACGAGAAGAGAAATGGGGTTTCCAGCAGCGAATGTTGGTGGTAATAGAGAGATGATGTCTGGCTGATTTCATAATGAGATTGATGATGATTGTTGGCGGGATTCTGCAGACCAGTTGATCACAGGTAGCAGACGGAAGATAGCTTTTCTATGTGGATTCTGGAGTAGAACGGATGGATGGATGGATGGATGGATGGACGGATGGGAAGAAGTTCAGATGAGATCAGTTCAAAGTTAGGAAGCTGATAGCTGTCTTGTCGGGTGTAGGAGCATGTGTACACGTCTCTTGATGTGTAAAGAACAGCTGACCAAAAAGAGTGCATGGCCCTTTCCCCACACCACGTGGCTTACTTAAGAGAGAGAGAGGAATCTTTAAGATCTAATTGCTTTCTTCCTATGCGACTACATGTAGTCATGCGTGTGGACGCTAAAACTTCCTCTCTTCGATCTATGAAACTCGAGGAACCTAAAGGGCTATTATTCTGTGGATCCTGAATGGGACACGACGGCGCAAACGCTGCGGGGGGTGCTAATCGGGGTGCCATAAACAAGCCCTAAAGCTCACATACCCCCCACCTTTTCCCTCTCCTTTCTACCACCTTTATACACGACCCTAAGCTAGCAGGCTCCACTAAAATGAATTAAACAAAAACAAAACAAAAAGGCCCCACTGAGGATTATCAAATCGCGAGTGACAGCTCATGATGCAACGAAGTCGGAACTCGGGCAGGGTCGGGCGTGCGCGAAGATCACCCCCGCACATATCGATGAGAAAAAGCATTCTGGCCCACGTTGATGCGGTGTTTGTTTCAACAGCTGGCTACGCTAACATTTATAGACCCCCAGATATTGTGACTGGGGGGGGGTTAGTCTCGTACAAGGACAGAAAGGGATTTTTTTTTTTTAATTCATTAATTGCATGCAACCTTACAGCTATGGCAATATCACATTTCCCCAGACTACCCTACTGCCTCCGCCATCTCACATCGTAACAAAGGAAATACTAGAGAATAGAAAGTGGAAACTCGTCCCTTGCGTCGTTCAGCGTGCCCCATCCGTAGCCCAATTCCCTTCTCTCTTTTTCCGTTTCCTCACTGCGTCCTTCCTTTCCGTGCCTCCATTTTGCAAGCTGTTTCCATATCTTTGTCGCTGCTTCAATCCCGCTGGCCGTCCAGAGGAGCTTGACAATCGTGTCGTGTTCTTTATAGCTTGCCCGAGATTCCGCTGTTGCGTCGCATTCCGTAAGAAGGAGTGATGCCAGATTATTCATATTCTGGGGATCCGTTCATGCCGTGAGCAGTATTCCACAGCAGCGAAACTGGCAAGAGCATAAGACACCAGATCTACTGGGATTAGCCTCAACGACTGTGAATACTAGGCCGAACTCTTGTGCAACATACGGGGCGTTTCATGTCGACTAATTTGACTGGTATTCGTCGAGTCACCCTAGCCATTGGGATCCCTAACTTAATGTGTTGCTCGAGTCTTCTTTCTAGACTGTTTTGATATTCCTGTAAAATTCGACCAAGTTGGGCTGATGCCGGGTATCAAGGTATGACCACAAGGAAACCCATCACCTGGTTGTGTCCGGACACTTCAAAAACAGTCGATAACCCCGGGCGCGCTATGCACCTTCTATCTTTGTGCTCTTTCTCTCGCCTGGCGAGTCCCCGGTAGTTGTTGTGTATGGAAGGGGTAAAGACTAAATACCCTCTAGAAGGATTATCTGTCCCCCGCGCCCATCACATCACAGCTCCTGGACTATGTCAGCCCGAGTTTGATCTATGGGGGAGGAGCTGTGTAGGTTTCGATTGTGATGGAATTGTCAGGGGCTGGAGAGGCCTATAAACTTGTTTGCATTAGACGTGCTGCTCAGCGGTAGAAGAGATACATACATGTAGTGCACACCCTTCTGTACTGGTGGGCCCAATATGGCATGCATGCTATTGGTGAGAGGTACCGGTTGAGAGAATGGGATGTTTCATGGCGAGTGTGTAGTCCCATTTTACCACCCCACCACCCCACCACCTACACGGAGCGGAGCGTACTCTGACGGTACTCAGAGGAGGGGAGGGGGGTGAATTTCGTTTCTTTTTCTTTTAGAGAGAAAATTTGAAACTAGAGAGAAGAGTGGCGTGAGGGAGTCGCTGTTGTGCCTGCTGGTATTTTTTTAAGACCGAGTTTGTGGTGAGAATGAAGGATGAAGTTTAATGTTGGTGGGGGTACGTTGTTTAGAGCACATGAACGTACGACGTCGTTGGAAAGTTGCCTCCACCACCCACCTACATACAGCTAGCATCGTCATCAACACGGACGAACTCATCACCACCAACTATCTACGCGCCTGCGTAGCTATGAGGCATACAATTTGGGTAGGAGGATAGATGATGCCGCCATCTCCAACACGCAACAAGAGCCAAGACAAACGAGTGATAGCATATGATTGGCACACCCAGTTAGCTATTATTTCACGCGTGCCTTCAATTACCCGTTTTCATTTATAAAGTAAGCTTTATGAATATTCTAGGCGCTTTTATCGCTGTGACCAGCACATAGCTGGCTGAATTAAGTATGTACTGGCCGTTGATTAATCCGCTGAAATACTGAGCAGCTAGGATAGTTGGTGCATGTATCTAGCTATTCAATCTCCGACACTTCTAATGAGAACACCACTCCCTCTAGATCTACACCAAAAGCAACATCCACACACCCTTCCTCCTCCCCCTGGCTGTTGGCACGCCTAGTATATGGTGTGCTCGGAGGCCATATAAAAGTGAGTTACCTGTCCGAAGACCGCGGTACGCTAGACTCGAGTTTTAGCGGAAAATATAAAGGGGCTGGAAGATCAGAATGAACCCGAAAATCTTTTTTGTGATTACATTTCCCACTGATATGAGAAGGTCGGCAATATCTCATGGTGGTCGGCTACATGTACTCCATTAATTATATCTTCATATGCATCCACCGTTGAAATATGGCAAAGATCCAAAATGAGAGATCTCGGTAGACGTGCTGTAAAGTGACATAAATGATAGATTTCGCTACGGTCAAAAGTTAAATGGTGCTTTGGGATAAAGCCATACGACCTATCAGTCTCCACATTTGCAGAGCACCAAAGCCTCCCACGAACTATTCGTCGAGTAATAATGTCTCTCGAGATCTCAGGGTTTTATTAGATAGAAGCCCACCTTATCGTAATCAGTTGCTTTTTCTCAGCGGAACTATTCGAAGCCGGATGACGCGTCCCAGAATTATTGGGACATAAAACATCAGTGATAAACTCACACCTGGGATCTATCGTTCTGGGATGAAGCGATTTTTACTCTCTGTCCCGCTCGGCGTTGGCATTCTTGGTGCGAGTTGGACATCCCTTGATCACAAGATACATTTACGAAGGGTCAAAGGTATTGATATGCAGTAATAGGCACAGGTGCAGTTCGCAGGTATTTTAAGTAAGGAACTGAGCATGAGAATCATAAAGACAGGACTCTTAGAACGAATGTGATATGTTTATTTGCGACAGTTATCATATGATAGCTAGGTGGTAAGGAGCATTTTTGATCTTCCACGGGCCTTTACCCTCTACTAACATAGGCCTACTCCGCACCTTCATCTTCCATCATAAGCAACGAGAGTAGAGGATCCCGAAAAATGCCCGTTAGGCCGAGGATTTAACGGAATGACGCTGGAGATACCATGCACATGTTGTGCCTCAGGAAGGCGACAGTTCGATAGCGGAAGGCTTCAGGGGTTTCCTGGGGGTAATCCATTCTGTGCTTACCAGTGCGGTGAGCTGTCCTGTCTTTCCTCTCCGATTCTCTCTCTTCCCACCAATTGCGCCCCTCGTCCTTAAGGTTCAACCACCATTTCCTACTGCCTTCACTTTTCTTCCACAGGTCGCTGGCGGCCTGACAAACTCTTATATGGGCTGCCCACCCCGCGAAGTCATAGGCGACATCCCTTATCCGCCAGGCCCGTCCCCATCTCCGGAAATGGTATTCGCATAATTCCTATAACCTGGGAATATGTGCTTCAACTGACAACCGCGACAGTAAAGTCCGTCAGCGGTTTCCCCCTCTTAATGTACAGCAACGGGAATTGGACAGTAACCCTCTGCCTTGTCTGCCCATTTTCTTCAAATTTAATATGAATGCGGCGGCTTTCTGTGTTCTTTTTGCGTTTCTCAACGAAGCTCTCCATATTGGGCCGACTTCCGTGAAAGCGAATTGCGGCAGCCTCCACCATGGCTCTAGAAACAAGGGTGGGTGTACTCTTAACAGAGCTGAACGCAGTGTAGTCGTGATACCACCCGGCAATCCCATTAACGACACTAGTCATCTCTTTGATCTGGTTATTGGTGAGGCCAAAGAGATCTTTAGCATAGAAAATCTTTATTGTTTCCATCTCCGGAGAGAGCTCAAGGCAGTTGGTGCAGACCCGAGAAAGTGATGGAAGGTATAGTTGGGCGGCAAATTCTCCGCAGATGTGACAGCCCGGGGCAACAAGGACGTTGAAAAGATCCTGTATGGTGAATATGCCACAGGCACCTGTCAGGAGGATGGCCTTGAAAGCGTGAGGAGCGTACTTTCGTGTGTTGTTGAAGGCTGGGACTATCTCCACGACGGACTTTGCATAGGAGTTGACCTGGCGCATGGCACAGATGGTGGGCACATTGAGACGCTTGAAGATTGCAATATGAAGATCCATGGGAAGGCGGTCAAGCACACCTAGGCTAGGGCAAGGACGTGGAGGTATGTCGATTGTCGGCTTGAAGTCTTTATGGGCAGGAAATCTTGTGGTGATGGGAATGATGCGTCGGAAGATATCGATACGCTTGGATGCCATCACCGCGAGGTGAAGGTCACAGGCTCGAGGATTTGAAAAATCGAGGTCGGCCATTGATTTGATGTGTTTGTGGGTTGACATTTGGAAGAGTTGACTTGCAGTTTTAAACCAATTCATATATCAACAGAAGTGCCGAGACGTTAGATATGTTTGGAAAAAGGCCAAGAAGGAGGTTAAGAGAGGGAAAACCGTGCCTGTTTGGCAAGCCATGCACTTTTTAGACAGAATTTGGGGGAAGTTCCAACACAAGGATCCTATCAGCTTGGTCCTTCAACTCCAACAACTTATATTTAACAACCAGAGGGCGGTTTTTAAGTTGGTAGTCGCAGTTTGCACTCACATAACTGAGCCGTTGCGGATAGAAATCACCAAAGGGACGAACTCTCAGCCATAATACAAAAGTCGAACTAGATACATCTAGAAGACTTGAAAGAGGTTTTAGGGTAACAAAGCAGTGTTGATATCATATAGGACACTATTTTCAGTCCAGTGTCTAGAATCCAGGTAAGATCTGTTACACAAAGCCCGAAACCTGGAAAAATGACAAGTTATGTCACGTGATCTTACGAGTGATTGTTTGTGATGAAATACATGTATTGATCCTTACTCTAGTTCATTGTGGCGCTTGCCGCTTAGATAGAAGACTCCACCACTAAGAGGCATAATACATGTTACAGGCGCTGAATGCAGGAGACTATAATCAATCTCGAGGGTCTAGATGGAGGGATTCCCCCCATAGCTTTTGAAATCAAAGCTGCTAATTTGTAGGCATGTTTTTTTTTTTAGACCAGAGGTTAATGTGTGACACTTGCAAACAAAAAGATTATTTCGACCAAGGTCAACCGGCTACAAATTTGGATTACTATTCACGAATTTAGCAAATACTATCTAAGATATAGATCAAAATAGCTACAAACAATACAGCACTTTTTTTCGCAACAGAAGAGTATATACCCGCTCACCCTCTCTCTCCCCTCCCTGCCCCATGCAACAAACATTTAAGCCCACATAAGCTTGAACTTCTCGTCAAAGGTGGACCTCAATACCTTAAAGGCTTTGAGCACCTTCCCGAACCCTTCACTCTTCTTGATCATTTCTTCCTCCTCACCCTCCACCTCCTCGCTCACAACCTCCACCTCTTCCAGATCACCCTTCTCATCGCCACTACCCGCGCTCAAGTCATAATACGCGCCAGGCCCATCCTTCAGAACTGCTATTATTCCCGGTACGACAGTCTCGAGCACGACCGAAAAATCCTTCAATACAAACCAGACCTTGTTTGGACGAATGCCATTCTCAGCTTGAAGCTTATTTACATCGCTGTGCTTGTAGAAGTCGACGAGGTATCCGTTCAAGTCCATGTCTTCGGTCGGGATATGGGGTATCGATGCGCCTTCGGGAAGAACTCCGAGGCGGACAGAGGAAACCAGGTCCTCGATGGATGAAAATTGATCAGTATATCCAGAGAGCGCTACGAATGCCGAACGAGCTGTGGGGCCAGTGGTGGACTTCTCCTCTGTATTTCCGCACTGAACTTGCGAGAATGGTAAAGTGTTGTCCGGAGAATCCAGGTATCCCTTCGCGAATGTCTCGACATAGGTGGTGTATGTCTTGAGCGTATCATCATTCTGTTGTTTGAGAACCTGCTTCATGCGAGCCGGCATTGGGGGAAGAGTTTTGATCCCTGGGCGGCATTTCCTACGTCCAAAAATATGGGCCATCACGAGCAAGAGGTCTTGACAGGTTTGCTCTGGCTTCTCGTAAATATCTCTACAAACCTCCTGCAGATAACCGCTGATCAATAGCGCATGAAGCGCAAAAGCCGAATCCTCAATATAATAAAGATGGCTCGTTAACCCTGCGAAGTTCAACGGTGTCCCAGTGGAGCCGATAAGCTTCTGCTTCCGGAGGTATTCGATAGAAAACCGGAGGTGATGGAGGACTTGTTCCTTGGGCGCTTGTCCACCGAGAACCAGCTGGTTCTGAGTGAGTAAACTATTGATCATTTTCTTCGCATGTGCAGATTCCTTCGAGGAATGAAGCAAAATGAATAGGCGAAGCACTAATGACGCACTAATTGGAAAGTGACCAAGAAGAGGAGGTAGCTTCGATGATATAAGACGGTTAATTCGGTCTTCTGAGAAACCATGGAAGACAACATTTCCGATGTTGTCAAAACCACGACGACCAGCACGACCAGAAGCTTGACGATAGTTCAGGGCAGTGAGATCGGGAGAGTCCCCAGCAAAAACCGTTGTACGTGTTGGCATGTTAACACCGAGAGAAAGCGAACCGGTAGCGATTACTACTCTAAGATACCCTTTCCGGAACAGCATCTCAACAGCTTGTCGGTATTTTCTAAAAGAGGTAAGTAATGTGTATGTCTCCAAGATAAGAATCAACCTTACCTGTTCAAACCACTGTGATGAACACCAATTCCCCTCTTAAAAGCATTCACCAGCATCGGAGGAGTTCCCCACTTAATCAAGTCACTAATATCATTTTCCAACTCTGCGTTTCCCTGCTTCCTGGTGTCTGCAAACGAAAACTCGGCACTCGGATACTTCGGGTCGAACCGATCCAAATAGCTCCCCTCGAGTTCGCCTGCATCCCTCATCATATCATTCTTAGACTGACCAGCCTCAGGTTTCGCAATCTTTTGAACCTTGGATCCACGCGCGTTCTTGTTGGCCATATATACTTCCCAAGCTTTGACGGTGCTGGTCCACTTTGGATTGGTTTCCCTCCACTTAGTCTCAGCGGCCTCGAGCTGTTCACAGAGAACCTCACAGATTGTCTCACACTTCTGACGACTATAGTTGAAGAGAATTGCTGGCAAAGCGTTCGCGTTATGGAGAGATTGTAGAAGATTAAGTGTATTCTGATACAAGTAGGCATTTTTCTCGATAACCGAACCTGTAGTAGTAGCTTTAGTCTCTGCTTTACCTTCTGCGCTGGGCGCAGCCTTGGCCTCAACAGCTTTCTTTTCTTCGATCTGTTCGTTGGATAATATTTCAACCACTTTAGTAAAAGGCGATGTTTTATCCTGCATCCAGACCTTCACAACCTCTTTCAATTTCTCCTCCCACAGTACCACATCCTTCTTTACGATCACCCCGCCTTTCGTTCCGAAAACCTTCTTGTAATCGAGATCGTCCGAGATAGGGAATTTCTCGTTCTGGGCTTTCGAAAGTGCCCAGTAAAGTTGGAGGCAGTCTTTAGGTTCAAGCGACAAATCATCCTGCATCTCAATTCTAGTATTCACTAAGGCAGCAATCGGATGTATCCTAGTCATCCCGTCGCCAAGCTCTAAAGTTTGGAAACGGGAGGTCCTTGGGAGCCCATTAAACATAGTCTCTTGAGTTCTCTTTGGCCGGTATACAAACTTGCGAAGATCAGAGTACCTATGTGGGTGCTGAACCATGCTGAGATTGACACCCTGCGCACTTTGTGTTGCTCTGAGCCACGAGGCGAATTCCTCTGCATTCCCAACAGTGGCAGACAAGGCGACAATTGGACAGGGAGATAGCAGCAAAAGTTGCTCCCATATGGCACCGTCTTCGGCGTTTCCAATAGAATGAACTTCGTCGAAGATGATACGTTTGATGCGAGGAGTCCAGGATGTGGCATTTGTGGGCGACATCAACATGCTTTGGAGGACATGAGGGACCGTAATCAGAATTTGACATTCTTTAGGCTTGTTGATAGTCCATTCCCGTGTTCCGATTGCCCAAACGAACTTTCCGGCATAACGGTAATTCTTTTTAAATCGAGAGATAACTTCGGCCGCAATTTGATTCACCTAGGTTAAATGTCAGCTACGAGTGATAACTCATGATCAAAACCACTAAGTCAACGTACCAAAGCTTTCGTTGGAGCAACGTAAACGAGGATGCCATCATCATTCTCTTTAAGAACCTTCTCCATTGCATAAAACGCAATGAAAGTTTTACCCGCAGAAGTTGGAGCAACCACAAGTGCAGAGTTATCACCATCAAGCTCATCCAATACTTTTCTCTGCCAACCATCAGGCTCAAAGGGAACACGTGGATCCGGGGCGGAATCCATATTTCGATCCATCCAAGGTCCGCAATGCAGTAACTGAAACTCCTCACTAGACATGCCAAGTTTAATATCGTGAGACTCTATTTTTCCATTCCAGGTTGCATCGAAGTGAATAGAAAGCTTGCGGTCGGGAAGTGTCTTGATTGACTTTCCCGGAGGCATAGCAATTCCGAGCGAGAGAAAGATGTTTTGGATATAAGTTTGAATTTTCTGCGTCAAGCCTGCCGAATCGAGAATCGTGCGAGCTTCGTCGAATAGGACTGCGGTAACCATGTACCCCAACTTCTGCTCACCACGGCGACAATACCCAGTCCACAGACGTTGCAGGAGCTGCAATTTATACAGGCGTCCTTCAGCTTGGATAAATGGCCATTCCGAATTATCCTTAACTGTCTTTTTCGTCTCCTTCAGCCATGTATCCAACCTAGCCATCGCATCCTCGTCATCTGTGATCTTTTTTACGTCTCGGAAAAAATTGTTCCAAAGATCTTGCAGTTTAGCTTCTTTACCAGCCTTCTTTGCAGAATTATTTTGGCGGATGATCTCGGCAGCTGAAATCTTTCCGGTCGCCTTGCCCTTGGGTGCGGTTTCCTTAACGGTGGTCTTTCCTTTCGCAAGAACAGTTTCTTTTTTCCCAATGACTTTCTTCCCACCCTTTACAGTCTTATCCGCAGCCTCGGGTGCGTTCTCCGGCCCCTTTACCTCCTTCTTCTTTCCCTTTTCCTCCACGACGATGAGTTTTGGGTCGATACCGCCGTTTGTAGAATCCGTAAGTGAAGCCGCATATCGGTTCATCTGGTTGCAATACTGCTGTTCCGACCTTCTGACCTTTCCGGCGGCTCTCTTTTCAAACTTATCACCTTGCTGTCCCTTTGTCGGTGCTTGAGTGACCTTTCCAAGTCTGCCAACCCAAGAGAGGGCTTCTTAGCCGCCTTTACAGGCGCAGGAACAACCGTCTTTTTCGCATATTGCCAGTTCTGGGTCTCGCGGACAACTTGAATATCCGCATCAGTTTCAGTATTTTCCTCATCTTGCGCGGACACCTCAATCGGTAGCTTGACCTGCGACAGATAGGGGTCAAGCACAGGGTTGGTGAAACGGAGGATAGTCGTTTGACGGGGCGTCAAAGTTGCGGTGGATGATTCGGAGTAGGTTGTGGATGCAACCTCTGTTGCTGATCCTTCAGTCCCGGAATCGTCTACCGATGACACGTCTTCGGCGTGTTCTACCTCTGGTGCTACATCTGGGATAGGGGCGGTTTCGGTGCCTGTAAGCTCGGGGAAGGTGAGAGTTACGTCGCTAAGACGATGCACCTCGGAGGATAGCTTCGAGAAGGTTTCTTTAACAGCATCTGAAACTGGATCTGGGGTGAGCAGGATGAGCTTTAATAGAAGCCGCCCATCAAGGAAATCGTGGACATCATTCTTGGCATCTTCGAACGAAACCTCATTATTTTGTAGAAGCTCTTTGGATATTGCGGTAATGCGTTGCAAGAAGTTGTGGAGTTCTGTGCCCGACTTTGCATTTCCGGGAAGAGGGAAGCACCGCTGTAAAAGTGAAAGGTTCGACAATAATGCAGTGTGAAGCAGAAATACACTATGAAGGTACTCTTGTTGTCCTTCGGGGTGTTCCTGCTTGAGAGACCGGGCAACAGCTGCTACAGACAAGCGCTCTCTGGCCGAGCTAAGCTCGGGCAGCGAAAGCTTTTCCTTTGGCTCCTCTGGTGTCTCATCATCTTGTCCTCCTTGAAGAAATACCGGCTCGCGGGTGAACTTTGTTTTAAGGACGGTGGAGAAAATCTAGAAAGACGAAGAATGAATCAGCACAAAGGGCAGTGAGTATTGCGGGGACGGTAAATACCTTGCTGTCAACGAACTCACAGTCATTTATTAACGCAACATTCTGACCAATGTCGATAAACTTCTTTAGTAGTTCTAATAAGAGTCCTCGTGTAGCTTTGGAATCACCTCCATCGTGTGACATGACGAAGTATGGTCTTTTATCATCTAGATACCGCTGGAATCCCATATCCTCGACACTGTTGAACTTGGACACCAGCCCCTCCACACCCATCAGATGTTCCACGATAGCCGACCTCGCAAACCGATATTTCCACTCGTTCTTCACCCCTATGGGTGTTGGCGGTACGCATATTTTTTCGTAAGCTATTTCACCGGGAATTTGTTTTAGCCAATGACTTCTTCAGTTCCTCGACTACAGTTGGTTGAAGAATTCCAACAGAGGGTAGTTATTACAGACCGTCGAAAAAAACAAGCGCAAAGTTACACCTCCTCCTCCTCAGCCGTTGCAGAAACTCTTCCACGACAAACACTGCATGCAGCAGCTGGAACCCTTCATCGAAATCGATGCGGGTGTCCGAGAACACCCACCGTAGCAGAGAGTCACCTTCGACGATGAAGAACTCTGCTCCCGCGTAGCCATCGATTAAGTCGATATGTTGACGGTGCTTAACGGTCGCGAACCATGTCTCAAGGCCCATATCCGTCGATTCAATTGATTGTCCCTCCATGGTAGGGAGTTCACAGAGCTGGTGATTGGGGGGTTAGTGATAAGCGATAAGAAGGCTATCGTTGTTTCATCTCCGGAGTGTTTGCTAACTTACAGATTTGTTTGCAGCACAAGGTATGCTTACTCAATGGATAATTTTGTAACTTGTTCGCTTCAATTTTGCGGAAAAGTCGACTGCGGGGTAGATAGATGATTTGTGGTGGAGGTTGGAAATCACTTTGCTGTTGATGCGAGGTATGTGCGGCGGTTTAGGCAGCAGCAGCCAGCAGGAGCAGTCCACTGAAAGCCGACCACTGGAATTGGGCTGAATGAGCCACAGCTAGCTCCTAAGAGTGGCGTTCATAAAATGTTTGTCGAAAAATACGGAAGCTACGATATTAAGATCAATATCCTGGAATTTTCTGTGGAACATTCTCACCACCTGGAGCTACAATAGTACTACGAGTCGCCCTTCTGAATCGCCATGGGTGAATTATTATGGCTGTTCGGAAGAGGCTAGGTATGGCTTAGATTGTTACCGGAGTAGATCAGATAAGATAACAATGCGGGGCATTTTAATGCCAAGAAAAAGAAAGCATGCACAAACTTCCCCTACCGCTGAGCTTTTGGAAGTGTGCAGGATAAGGAAATAAATCGCAACAGACGAAGAATAAATACCAAGTAATAAAAATATCTAGCTGTGCCGCAAGAAGGAAAACGGAAAATTAATTCCAAACGGATCAGAAAGCTTAGGTAGCATTTTAGAAATATATTACGATAGCTACGTGTTGTATTCAGTTTAAGATGTGTGTTAGCTTCGAGACCTATAAGTTAAGCTGCGACAGCCCGTTTAATCTCAATCATCATTCTTCTCATCATCATCTGAGCGATAGAGCAAAAAGAGCCAGCCGGAGCAATCTTTTCGAGAGTAATCCAGACCTCAGATAGAAATAACTCGTTCATTCAACAGCCTGAATCACTTGTTGAGACATTGAGTATCATTTATAGATACTGTTTTGGTGAGGGCACAGGCTTAAAGCATCTCTATTACCGAGAAGAGCTCAGAGGTATATATATGTTATATTATCCAATCACCTCCATACATGTTTCCTGGAATTTGCTTACGGTAGTGTCTACAATGGGATCGAGGTGTATGAATCTTGTCTTTCTAGTATTCGCTAAGCAATATGAAGTATATGTGATCACTGATTTAACTATAGTCAGTCAATTGCAGTCAAGCATCGAATTTATCATGATCACCGTATCATCCTCGCCCTCACATCGACAAGGTAGGGTTTACCCTCCTGCCAAGCCACCCCACGAAAAAACCAAATCCCAAAAGAAACTTTGGTCCGTTGCAGCCAGCAGCGTCCGCTCCAACGACCAAGCTGCCCCGCGCCATCGATAACCCACCCCTCTAGAGTAAACAACCCGCTCTCACAGGAAATACCAACCCACATCAGATCGCGGCGGAAAGTCCCCAGTCATCACCCATCATGACCGACCAAGATTCATACATCCACCTTGCCAGGCCTCTGCCGACTCTCAACGTCTCGCCCGCCCACGCAACAACCGGCCCGTTGAACGTCCAGATTCATGCGCAAGTCAGTTTTTTGTCCTCCTAGTTGGGGTGGTGGGTGGGACTGTGTTGCTGATATAGTCGGTGATGGTATAGGCGCTCTTCTCGATCCTCGATCACTCATTAAGACGGAACGCCGACCAGGAGAGAGTTATTGGAACACTACTGGGTGTCAGGAGCGAGGATGGAAGCGAGGTGGAGATCAGGAATTGCTTCGCGGTTGGCCATAATGAGAGCCAGGAACAGGTACGTTGTGCCCGTGAGGAGTCAAGGATTGCATAGGATGGGATGGGATGGGATGAATGGGATAGGATGAATGGGATAGGATGAATGGGATGGGATGAGTAGAGGACTTACGGAGAAGCACCTGGGATATAGGTCGAAGTAGATATGGACTACCACAAGACCATGCTTAGTCTCCACCTAAAGGCAAACCCCAAGGAGGTTCTGGTCGGCTGGTAGCCTCTCCCCCGAAGCCCCCCTCACCCGTTCTCCTCCTGCTAACTCAACCCTAGGTACGCTACCTCCCCCGAGCTCAACACCTTCTCCGCCCTCATCCAGAACTTCTACGCCTCCAACGGCGAGGGTACCTTCCCCCACCCTGCCGTGCACCTCACCATGTCCACCGCTCCGGGTAAGGACATTGCCATCAGGACCTACATCTCCTCTGCCGTCGGCGTCAACCCCGACCGCATCGCCGACTCATGCCTCTTTGTCCCCGTGCCCTACGAGATCCGCTACAATGACAGCGACCGCAGCGGCCTCGAGCTCATCGCCGGCGCAAAGAACACCGAGGACCGCACCGTCAGCGTCATGACAGACATCCACGCGCTCGAGCGGGCTATCGAGGAGGTGCTCGGCATGCTCGACCGTGTCAGCGACTACGTCGCAAAAGTCATTGTGAGTCCCCCCCAAAAAAAAAAAAAAAAAAAAAAAAAACCCGCTCTCCTACCACCCCAGCGCTAACCACGATGCGGTAAAAGGACGGCGAAGCCGAGGGCTCCACTGCGATCGGAAAGTTCCTTATGAACACCCTTGCCTTGGCGCCAAAGGTGTCGGGATCAGACGTCGAGCGCATGTTCAACACACACATCCAGGACGTCCTCTTGATCTCGTACCTGGCGAACACGATCCGTACCCAGATCGACCTCTCAAACAAGCTCGCGAACCTCACTTCTGCGGCCGCGCCCCCGATTGCGGCTACCGTAACTGCTGGTGGTAAATAGAGTGGAGGATTTGGGCAGTAGGTGGAGTAGAGTGGAGTGGGGAAAGAGGGCTAAAAATCTATCCGCGGAGTAATTTTCTGTTTTTTGCTGAATAAAAAAAATTCAAAATAATTATCCTTGAGAGGAATTCGCCGTGGGGTTGGTAGCGTTAGATTGGGTTTGGGTGACTTTCCGGAGCAAAGCGATGCATAGGATAGAAACTCTGCTCTCTATGACTCGGGGTGGATGCTTTATTTATGGAGTGGAGTGTCAATGAGGATATAGATCAGTGTTGACTAGAGATGGCACACTCAAATACCAAATCACAGAACCAAGTCATCATATGTTTTTGACACGACCCTCCCCCCCCCCCCCTCTTCTGACTACGAGCTAGGAAGCACCGGATGCGGAAGTAAGAGAACCTTTAAATTGAAAAAGAAATAATATTTGGGCTATGGGACCTCCTCTGAGACGGATGTACGGCTGTTCCACAGTTTGTTCGGTTTGGTTGGGAGAGATTGTCTAGATATGGAAACTTGCACTGCCAACCATCGTGCTTGACCGGCGAAGGTGATACAGAACCCAATGCGCGCATCATGCCAATCTCGATTCCAATCTTTGTTTTCCATGTCACTGCTTGGAGAAATAAGTTTAAGAGATAAGGCTTATCAGACCCTGAGCTTACAACTCTGCGTGTCACGTGAAACAGGGATCTCAATCATGAACCGTGACTCGTGTCTCGGCACGTTCCGCTAATCCGCACTACCTACATACATTTACAGCTACATTCCTCTCTCCTCCTAAAGAAAACCCATTCCCTCAAACCAAACCCAAAAATCTTCCCCCAAGAAAACACCATCGCTCTTCACTCCCCACCAGTGCCAGGTCCGCCCCCATTCCACTCCTGCGTAATACTCAGCGGCGTCCTCGACCGTGGTGTGTGCGACGACCTTGGTGTCTTCCCCCGATCCGCCTGCAACAGCTCTTTCGCAAAGTTTGCGCCATTCTCCTGCGTCGTCAGGTCCAGCAGCGCCTCACGGAACTTCTCCGCAGTCCAACTGATGGTGGCCTCCGTGCTCACGCCGCCAAAAGGACGGTCAGAGATCTCGACCATGAGCGAGAGTATCATGAGCGATGACAGACTGTATAGGGTGGTTTGTTAACCAATACAGTCTCCAATTAAATAGCGGATGTATTAGTGGCATGATGAGACTTACAGTCCAACAGCGGAGAACGCAACACCCACGCGGTGCAGCCGGCACGTCATCCCCGCGCTCCACAACATGGCATCTTTGGCCGCGCCGGGTCGGCAGGTTAGTTGTTCGACGGCCACCGCGCCGCCAGTCCATAGCGAGGCGAGCCAGAAGGTGGTGCTGAGCAGGCTGAAGAGGAAGGTTACTTTTTTGCCCGTGGAGGGGGGCCGTATAGGCCCGTTGCTGCGCGCGAAGCTCCAGCAGAAGAGGAACAGGAGTGACAGTACTGACTGCAAGTTTGTTAGTTAGGATGGTGAATTTGAGGCATATGGTATGGGAGATGTACTGTTGTGAGCAGGAGGATGCTGTTGGACTTTGTCATGGCGTCGAGCTTGTGGGTGGCGAGGAGGTAGATGGGCACCGCAAGGGAATAGAGGGCGGGTGGGATGAGGAAGGCGACGCAGACCTTGACGATGAGGAGGATGCGGTGTCGGCTCATTGCTGCTGTGGATTTTTGGGTTAGTATCGTAGTGTTGCAGGGACTGTGGGGTTAGTCTTTCGTTCGTCCTTGGTTTTGACTAATTCTTGAGAACAGACAGACCCCGGGGGGCAACTGGGATATTTAATTCCTATTCCAAAAACTAGTTCTACGCTCTAACTAAACTGGTGGCTGAATCACGCATGCTGGAGGTTGGGCGGTTGAGGTATTCAGCATTCCATTCGCCAATATATCTGGAATGCCAGGAACAATACAAAGAAAAAGATCCAACCCTACCAATGCACCCCACCAATTCCCCCACCTCCAGTTTAGACAGAGTGTGGACACAATACTACTTAAGTAGCCACCCCCGCCTATGGTGCAGAATGTTTACCTCCCCATTATTCGGGTGGCTAAATGTTTGTTTCTTCAGTATTTCGGGTGGCTTGCATATCTCCCGCAAGCGGAGGCTTGGGGAATTCGGAATGGTGCCAAGACATAGCGAGTCACTTCCTCTGATAACGCATATGGACGGTTGGTGATCGGTGTCTTGCTATCTAAAATCTAGCTCTTAATATTGAGTGAAGGAAGATGAGTGTGATGGTTATAACGATTAAGTCGACGCCGCAACTTAACTTTATAGGATCTCAAAACTAACACATATACTTAACTGGTTACAACTACGTAATCGTCGCAATGTGTCTAACACCTATTCCACTAGATATGAACAACAGGCCCAGGAAAGAAGGGTCCAGCTCGCTTAAACAACTTTAAGGATTGGGTTGGGGATAACGTGGCTGGAATATGGTATCGGTGGGCATGTGGAATGTCTGGAATGTTGACATGGACATGCAGGTCCGATGTTAAATACCGTTTCTGCCCGAAATACGTTGCACAATATCGTGGAATTTTTAGGAATCGGCTGCTTTGAGATGGAGGCCTAGGGCAGGGCGTATCGTAGGGGAAGGCACATAAAGAAAAGCTAAGTTCCATGCGGTGGAATACCTAATAATTAGTAGGTTAATCTGTAGTCGCACGAATTTATATCCCACTATTATTGATACTGCCCTGACTTCTACCCGGTCCCCTGTCTTTCTCGCGTTTCTGCGTACACCGCTAGCCCATTATAGTAGTTACCATAGACAAGCTATAGCTAGTAAATCCACAAATCCCATATAGCTCAACGCAATCCCAAACACAGAGTTCGTTTCCGTGTATTGGCTTGAGCAAGTTTACCCAGCCCGCAACAGTGAAAATGATGCCCCAATGAGCTGCCTCGCCGCGTAAAAAAGTGGGTCCGTATGAGCTCCATGTAAGCTGTCTACATGGTTCGGCCAGCCACACTTAACACTCTCTTTTAGAATTCCCCTCTCCCTCAGAACATACGAAGCTGTGGGCGGCAGAAGATCAGTATGGTATGTATTTAAATACACTTCTCATGCAGCGACCCACTGCTGCGCGCGGGCCACCCGCTTTGTGTATGCGGGGCGCATAGGAGATCAGCTATGTATGTGCTCTCTTCCTCTCGTGTCAAATAGTTGAGAACCGATAAAAGTCGGGGGTTTCGTGACCGGTGTGATGTCGTTATGCACTTTAGGAACTCGAGATAAATCCTGGCTGAGAAATTTGCGTTGTGCGCATAGGGGATTATCCAAAGAGAGTATTTGAGGGTTTTTTCGTTGTCTTCTTGCGATGGTGGTGGTGGCGGTGGTGGTGGTGTCTGTCGTTGTTGATGGGGTTGGTGGGGTTGTCTTCACAAAATGATGCGATCATGATATATCACTCGTTTCTCGTAATCCTATAATTTCGGGAACGCCACGAGGACACAACCAAGATGAATCGACGAGGGGATGTCTGAAACCGTGGCTACATGCGAACCATTCCAGGAATAAGGGCCAATCGTCGTCTTGCTTCTTCCGAATCCCCTACTAGTACCCAGAGTCACCCCACCGCGTCGACCCAAGAGCTCAAGCAGAACGCCCAGATTTTATCTCGCAGAGATAGAGTGTGGGGTAAAAACCCCCACCAAGAGGTCATCTCCCATCTCTCGCCGCAAAAGTCACAAATACACATCCAGTGCAGCCCAATCAACCGATGCTCTCTCCATCACCCTGTTCCCACGGTTCATTCGAGCCCGCCTGTAACCCCACGAGTCCCGTAACCGAAAGCGTCGCTGGACTCTCTCCCTCATAAGTGTATAGATCACAGTCGTAGAAACAGAAAACGATTACCAGAGTGCTAGGCTATAGATCAAGTAGACGGCTACATTCTATTCGGGGGGTCATGATGACAGATGGAGGAGGGGAAAGGAACCACTCTACCGATGCACTAGCGGCAAGGGTTTTTGGGAGAATTAGAAAAATAATGTGCAACAACCACTTCCAATGGCCTAATCAGCTGAAGTGTCGCCCAGAGGGGCCGAGGTCGATAGTTCGAACCTCCCAGACTTGGTGGGAAAACATACACTGTGTGACTGGGTAAAGGAGCAGACCGGGTCGGCTCTCCTTTTTTGCTGCCCTGGACTTTAGAATGGGATTTTTTTTTGACCTCCTTTTCCTGAACTTTGTATCATGTGTGTCTACGAGTATATTTTTCTTTTCTTTGTATGCAACATCCGGAGGGTCATGGAGGCAAGTTGTCGGATTTCTTCGGGAAAAAATGGTTGATGCCTGATGATTCTCATCGAGGGAAAAGCAGATCTAGAATGAAAGGTAGAGGTTAAAGGGAAATGTCGTTTAAGATAAGAGGGATTGATTCCTCAAACACAAGTGGCCGAGAGTTAAGTCAATTAACGAATATATGGTCGACATCTTGAGTCCCCGCCGATAGAAAGATATAGCAGAAGCCTTAAATACAAAGGTGAAGCGCAACCCGAGCTCCTTATATATGTTTTTTATTAATGTGTAGAGATATATGGAAGGTATATTAACTCGAAAATACGTCTCAAGGATTGAAGTAGACAGGAATAGCAGGGTTTTACTTCTTTGGACACGATGATTCAGAATCCAACCAAAGCCTCATCTCACCTTAACCTTGTGTTTCCAATCATGACCACCTGAGTTATGGTTCAGGATACTTGGGCAAATCCTCTCAGGTACTTTGGGGTCGGTACGTAACAACAGTAAAATCCGTGCACACAAACGTACTTCTACTCCCTGGGTCCCCGTCTCTTCCGCAGAGGGTTTATTCCAAAAACGGTTAAAAAAACATAATGTAACATGAAGCGTTACTAAAGCTAAAACCTTAACCCATTATAACATTTTTATAATCTTTTTGCCATATAACGCTTTGCCCGATGTCTTCAAGTTTGTGCTCTGGCGTGAGGCCGAGTAGACTTTCTGTTTTGGACCATATGTAGAGAACTGTGTCATCTTACGTCGTGTGTTTCAGAGCACAGCTGTGCTCTGCGGCTATCTGCGATAGAGGGACAGAAAACACGAACTAGAGTTTTCCTAGCCTGGGCTTGAATCTAGAGTTATCGATCATAGTCACTCTAGAGTTATGCCGAATCCCGCATTACTTCTTCGGGGTCAGAGACAGAGGAGGTAGGGACGAAATACCTGCTGAGCGGGGGAGGGGTGGGGCCTATCAATATCTACAGATCCTTTTATACAGACCACCCTAACCCCGCTAAGCTCTGCAAAATATGTGTGGTCCACTCGGACGTTCGAACAAAGTTTGAACACCTCCTCGATGTTTCTTACTACATAATCTATGCTCGACATTCTTTCAGATCTGTTATCCTCACCACCCCACCCCACAATCAGCACCACACCCCATCCTCGGACAAAAGCTACACCTACCTGTTTGGGGTTTGTAAGTAAAGGAAAATGCATCAGTGTACTAGAGTTTTTTAGTGTGTACTAAGTACATGTAGGTACATATGTACCTACATGTACTCGGGGCAGGCAAAAAGTACCGGACAATGCAAGTTTTGTCTCTGGGCTTTTTTTGCAGTAGTTCACGCCTAGCACGCGCGCCCATTGGTGAACCAAAAATCTGCATTGTCCGGTACTTTTTTACCTGCCCCAAGTATGTACTCGGGGCAGGCAATAAGAACCTGAAAATGCAAGCTGCAAGCAGGTGCTCAATTTAGTGTAGCTTTTCGCCAGCCGCGAATCAGAGGTTCTTCTTACCTGCCCCGAGTAGGTCCTACGCCACCGTCGCTAGTTCCTTGGCAGCGAATCGAGTGATATCGTATGATTACAAACTATGTGCTCTTCTTCGCACTTTCTTCACACAAATACACCGCGGCATACAGTCCAGCCCAACTAAAGCTATCTATCACTTTTAGCCATGATGCGCCTACCGGTAGTTACAAAAAAAAGAATAAGAAACACCCCTACACAAAACAGTCGCCACGAAGAGCGCGCTTTATATATCAGCCTATAGTTCTTCTACACGGGCTAGAAGCCGGGAGGTGTGTAGACGAAATTCAAAGAACAGTAAACGAAAGAAGAAAAAGAAAAGGAAATAAAAAAGTCCCGCTCCAAAGGCTTAACCTAGAAGGCAGCAAAAAGGAGAGCCGACCCGGTCTGCTCCTTTACCCAGTCACACAGTGTATGTTTTCCCACCAAGTCTGGGAGGTTCGAACTATCGACCTCGGCCCCTCTGGGCGACACTTCAGCTGATTAGGCCATAGGAAGTGGTTGTTGCACATTATTTTTCTAATTCTGTTATAAACCCTTAGTGTACTAGCGCCAGTAGTGTGCTTCCCTCTACCATGACCCGGCCCTCGAATACTTACTATGACATGCGTGCACAACGACAAAAAAATACGACCTTACTTGACACACTAGAAAGCAAATTTTTAAAATAAGTCAGCTCTTTCCTCGGATCCTTCGTGATGGTCGCGCTACGATGCGACTACCAGTCGACGCTACTTGTCCTTGTGTTATCCTAAGTCCCACATCGCCACAACCACGAGAGATACAAGTAAATACATACTTCCATCTATTGTAGAAAATGGGCGCGATGGATGTCTAAAAATAAATATTTCTTGCGACCTTTGGCTACTTCGG